CCCCCCCCCCCAATCAAAATCCTGGCTACAGGCCTGAAAGCAACTGGATTCTGTAGCTGGTTCTTCAGCTGAAGCTGTGTGGAGTTCCAAGACTTAAAACTGATGGAATTGATCTTATTAAGCTTACCTCACTGATCGAAAAGTGACATTTCAGACTGAGGCCACTTTGAAAAACACTGGATCTGATTTGGTACCACATATGAAAAATACCTGCATTTGATTTTTAAAAAATGGTTTTCGCTGGCAATTAATAATGATGCAACAGCCACATTGTAAAGCATAAATCTGAGTTTTTAAAGCAATTAGGACTCCTTCGTTAACTTATTCAGTCCATCATTTGTAACAAAACGAGTCAACATTTTAGAGCTGTGCCATGTATTTGAAATAATCAATTATATCAATTATAAAAAATAGTTAGACAGAATTTTAATATCAAGTATTAGCATTATTTGACTCTGTAAATGCTCATTTGTATCTGTATCAAATACACAAACTGCTAGGGGTAAAATTGCTTCTACAGTATTATTTGTGGTTGCATTGTTTACTATTGAAGAAGAGGTACCGGTTTGCACACCACAGAAAGATGACAATAAAATAAAATGTCTCTTTTGAGGGAGGTCTTCTGAGACCAGGGTCAAAGACAGATGGAGCTGTTTTTTCCCCCTCTGGCCATTCTCCTCTGACCTCTGGCATCAACAAGGCATTTGCTCCCACAGAACTGCCGCTCACTGGATATTTTCTCTTTTTCGGACCATTCTCTGTAAATCCTAGAAATGATTGTGCGTGAAAATCCAGTAGATCAGCAGTTTGTAAAATACTCAGACCAGCCCGTCTGGCACCAACAACCATGCCACGTTCAAAGGCACTCAAATCACCTTTCTTCCCCCATTCTGATGCTCAGTTTGACTGCAGCTGATTTTCTTGGCCATGTCCACATGCCTAAATGCTTTGAGTTGCTGCCATGTGATTGGCTGATTTGACATTTGCTTTAATGTGCAGCTGGACAGTTGTACCTAATAAAGTGTCCGGTGAGTGCATATCAGTATTGAATTATTGTTTGTCACTTACCACATGTATTAATAATCCAACAAAGTTCATCATGTCTATATATCTAATAATCTCAAAACTTTTCTTTGTTACTAGACACTGTTACTTCAGACATACCTGACCTGCTTCAACGTTTTTTTACTTTTGTCTTCATCAGAGGTGTTACAGCTGATGTTGTTTGGAGGCGTAATACACATGTTAGTACACGTGATTAAACTATTAAGCTTAAGTTTTATGGTTCATTATTTTAGTTTGCTATGGGAACTTGTGGTAGAGAGACTGAATAACAGGATGACATTCTCTGGTGTGAGCAGGTGAGATAAGATGTGTACAGGAGCTGGAGTGGGAGGTGTACCCACAGGAATCATAGATGGATGTTGTGACAAAATTAACAGACTAATCGAATATTCGGGGGAAAAATATCAACAGATTAATCAACTATCAAAATAACCGTTAGGTGAAGGCCTCAATTCAATTACCTTCCCGCTGTCCTCCTCCTGTGTTGAAACCAGTCAGTGTGGTCTGAATTTGTCCCCCATTGCCCCGTGTGTCAGGGGTCCCCTGTGGCCCCTGGTGGCAGTCTTCCCCTGAGTAACCATGGCAGCACTTCCACTCCATTTCTGTCACCATCTTGTAGGCCACCTTGTACCTTGGTCTCCTGTATGTCCGGTAACTAAAAGAGGAGAAAGGAGACATAAAAGTTGTGTCCTGTCATGACAACAGTTTATTTTTTYCACACACTTTGTTGTTTTCGTGTTTTAGTTATGGCTGTATATGTAATTGCCTGTGTGTGTCTGTGTATGCGTTTGTGGTTTGTTAGCAAATTATCTCATGAACCACTAGACAGATTTTAACACCTACAACTGATTAACTTTTGTAGTCAACCGAATTCAAGATGGCCATGAAAGCTATTCGACCTTCCAAACATAAACATGGCTACAGCTCTGCCATTTTCCAAATATTAAGCAATAATCTGGTGCAGTTATATCTGGAAACGATCACCAACACAAACTCTGAGCACTAACAAACACACAGAATGCTACTTTCATTACATGTAAACTACATATTAGCATTAAAATACTACTCTGACCCCAGMTAAGAAGGAAAAATCTTCCTCCGTGCTAATGTAAAATGCTCAACATGTCACTTTGCTGTTTCTTCAACCAGTAGCTGACTCAGTCCAGATCATGCTCTTAGAAAAGTTAAAAACGATACTGATGATCAGAATATTTGTTCTGAAACTTTGCTCTGAAGAATCTCCAACTATTTGGGCCACTGTTGATGATAATGTTACAAATCTAGAGMGTTTAAAAAACTAGTGTGTGTGTGTGTGTATGTTTTATTATTCATAAACAGTATCATGCCAATTACACATGATGAGTGGGATAGGGATGCACCGATATGAAAATTTCAGCCAATATCGATATCCGATATAATTATTGCTGTTTTGGCCGGTAACCAATATTTACTGATATTACACAAACACACAAATTATATTGTACATATACCCACAAACACACTTGAATCTTTTTTGATACCGTAAATAAATGACCAGATCTCTGACATGGCTCTACTTCAGTTATTCATGGTTATGCAGCGTCAGTATCACTATCATGATCAATCAGATGCTGCTCAACCAACCATCTCCCCTCCCAAAACAGAATCACAAAGCTATAATGTGGGAAATCAATATCGGATGTTAATATYGACCCACTTTTACATATCGGACCAATACCAATAATCTAAAAAAATGACCAATATCGGCCAATACCGATATTAATGCTGATATATCGTGCATCCCTAGAATGGGATTATGGGAGCTTTATAAACTTTGAAAGCTATTTCTGTGTCTTATTTTCCAAAAGAAACGGATCACACTTATCTGGTACTAAATCAGAAATTCTTGCTCATAGATTACTTCCAAAATAAAGTGATCA